TGACTAGTCCCCCCCTCCCGCTCCACTGTGGTAACTAGTTCCCCCTCCCGCTCCACTGCACTGACTAGTCCCCCCCCACCCCGCTCCACTGCACCGACTAGTCCCCGCCCCGCCCGCCCCACTGCACTGTCACACGCAAGGCTAGAGACACGCACAGGCCACGCGGAGGACGCGCGCTCCTGGCGTTGCTGTTTTCCCGCTTACACAGCAGCGCGCGTCCCTGGTGCACCTGAATCGCCTGCGCTACCAAGCACACCCCACAGCCATGCACTGCGCACGCGGCGGCGCCCTCAGCAGGAGGCGGTCGGTCGTCGCTGCTGGTCAACGGGAAACGCGACCCGGCAGGGACCGCCCGACCCTGAGGTCGCGGCAGGCGCAGACCAGGACCCGTGTCCCGTGCCCCCTCGCTGCCGCTAGACCTCCGGGGGCTCTTACGATGTGGGGCTGCCCACGAGAAACGCCCCGTAGGGCATCTTGGCGAAGCGGTGAGACACGTGACGGCTAATTTTCTTCTGCAGCCCGAACAGCCGCAAGATGTGCAGCGCAAGGACGCCCGTCGACGCGCGTGCCCTGACCAAGAAGCTCGACAGGACGGCCTGCCACCCCGCCGCCCGCGCCGTCCTGGGCAGCCTGCTGCTCTACGTCTCCAGCCGGGAGGACGGGCCCCCGGCGGCCGGGGGCTGCAGGCCGAGCCGCCAGCCCGAGTCCCAGGAGGCCACCCGGCGGCCCACGCGCTTCCAGCTCCTGCAGGCCAAGTTCCTGGGCGCCGGCCGCGAGCCCCACCTCAAGCGGACGCGGGAGGTGGGCAGGCTGACCCCCAGGGACAGGCTCGGGCCCGGCTGCAGCCTGGTGAGCGCCACCATCAACAAGCTCCTGGACAAGACCAAGGAGAGGGCCGGCGGCCTCCCCGGCGAGAAGCCCCGCCGCAGCCCCCCCACCGGCAAGAGCGCCGTGAAAAACATCCTGAAGAAGTTCTTGGCCGCGGAGGAGAAGGAAGCGCAGGAGAAGGCGGCCCGAGAGAGGCCCCCGGCGGAGCGGCCCAGAGCCCCCAGGGGCCTCCTGCCGAAGGTCGTGGGCACGAGCTCGGTGCTGTCCAAGCTGCGCGAGAAGTTCGAGCAGAGCGCCTGCCTCTGCTCCGAGGCCGGCCTGCTGCCGCTGCACGGCGGGGCGCGGAAGAAGAGAAACCTGCAGCGGCGGAAGATGCACAGGCCGGAGGTGCGGGTGCTGCACACGGCCACCATGGCCAGCACCTGCGTCAGGACGCCCCTCGCCCGCTTCCTGGCCTGCACGGCCGAGCCCCTGCCGGCCCTCGGCGTGGCCACCGTCGTGTGCGGCCCCAGGAGCTGGCTGTCCCGCTGCTCCAAGATCAGCCACGCGGGTGCCAGGCGCCAGCCCGGAAGAGAAGGTGCCCTGCGCCCCGACGCAGGGGAAGCAGAGCCCAGCGGGAAGGGGCCCCTCCAGGGGGAGCCCAGAGAACAGCCCCAGGCCACGGCTCAGCGGGGTGGCCCTGCTGCTGCCGACACAGCCCTGCCCTGTGTGGGGCCGGACTCCCCCACGCTCCCTGGCCACCTGTCCGCGCTGTCTCTGCCGTCCCCACTGGGGTTGGCCGGCCGAAGGGGTGACGGGACGGTGCGTGCCACAGCGGGGAGTGCCATGGATGGCTCCTGGGAGGTGGGGGACGCGAGAGCCGCGGGGCCGCTGGGCGAGGGCGCGGCGGAGGCCCCTGAAGTCGCCATGACAGTTTGCAGCTCAGAGGATGAGATGCCAGACTCGGAGAGAGACCCCCTCTTTGCCACGCAGAAGTATTTCCCAGAACAGAACGGGCCGCGGCACATCCCCCCGCTCTACGCGCCAGTGGTGCGGGCCGCGCGGCGAGCGCAGCCTGCCGTGGAGTCCCCGCGGATCACTGTGCAGCGCCCGGTTGTCCACGAGATGCCACCCGCTCCTGCCTCCCTGCACAACGCACCGCCTGGTGGAGACGCGCGTCCCCGCGTTGGGGGAGGGGACACCGTGGTTGAAAACGCACAGGCGGCGTCTCCCGTGGTGGCTGGGCACAGAGCGGCGGGCAGAGCTGCCGCGGAGCTGAGCGAGCCTCCCGGGGCCCCGGCAGGACCCCAGACCTCTTCCAGGCGGGGGGCACAGGCTGACCCGAGCCCTGCACACCCTCCAGGTGCTGCTGGTGCCGACGGCAGCATCCCAGACGCGGCTCCGATGCAGAGACCCCCCCGAAATCCTGCCGGCGGAAAGGAAGGCAGAGGCAGCTTCGAGAGTCCAAACAGTCCCGAGAACCGCAAGGATATTTCAGCAGAGAGCCCGTGTGAGCTCCGTGATGCGGGGTGCCCGGGGCCGGAGTCGCGTGCAACCCCAAAGCCTGGTGAGGGCCCCTCATTGCACGACCCCACAACACGGAAAGGTCACCTAGGAAGAAACAGCTGCGGCCCCTCGGGGGGTCAGCACGCGCCATCCCCCGGCGAGAGTGGTCTGACCGGCGCCCCCACGTCGCAGGCGGCTCCACCCGGGGGGCGTGTCGGGCCTGAGGGCTTCGCCACGAGGGGCTCGGACGTCCTGCACCGGCAGGAGCAGGGCCAGTGGCCGCCGGCCGCATCTGCTCAGCCCCTGCAGGTTGCCCGGGGAAACGCCAGCCCTGACTGTGGCAAGAACACGGGGTCGTCCTTCGACGGACGGCCCAAGGCAAGCGTCAGAGCGCCCAGGGAGATGGCAGGTGCGGCGGGCGTGGCGGGTCACGCTCCGGGTCACGCACCGCCGTTGCCAGCGAACGGCCGGCTCCCTGAGCACCCGGGGGACGAGGACGGGTGCGGAACACCAGCAACAGGTCTTCGTGCTGCGGAGGGGGGTGGCCTCCGGGGACAGTGTCTCCCTCAGGAACCCAACGACCGCCACGTGTGGGCCCCGGGTGGAGCTGCGGAAAGGAGCGTCTTCCACGGCCAGGCGGGGGCCCCGGCCCCCCACGCGGAGGGAGCCGCCCGCTCTTCCCCGGTGCCGTGTGCATCCCATGAGTCCGCAACACGCAAAAGCGACGCCGCAGTGGGAGGCGGAAATCACGGAGCTGGGGCAGGACGTCCTCCAGGTCGTGGCGCGGAGCCCGCAGTTCCAGCCTCCACGTGTCGCAGGCCGTGGGGAGCGAGCCCAGCGGGGCCCAGCCTCGGCCCAGGCGAGCTGCCGTTGCCTGCCGAGAACCAGCTGACCACACGCAGAGAGGGCGCCGAGTGGGAGAAGCAGCTTCCTTCGGGGACAGAGCTCGCCGGCCCACCTCCCACAGCGCCGACCACAGAGGCAGAGGCCAGGCGGGCGGGGTGGGCCCAGCAGCGCAGCCCCCCTGACGCCCGGGCTCGCCAGCCCCCCGCCCGCCGCACCCCCGAGGCCCAGAGCCCAGGGAGTGAAGCCCAGGGGTGTCGGCCAGCACAGGCAGGCCCCGTGCTCGACTCCCAGTGGGGGCAAGAAAGTCGGCCCGCACCCGGGAGAGCTGCCTCAGGGTGTGTGAGGTCGCGGCAGACGCCGCAGCCAGCTGTCTCTGGGAGGCACACAGCGCCCTTGGGCCCGGAGGTTGTGCAGAACGTGGCAGAGCAGCCTCGGGCGCAGCTACGGTCAGCCCAGGACCCGGCCACAGAGGTGGAGAGCCCCCGCCCCCCTAGCCACAGAGGTCAGGCAGGTACACTGGGGCCGTGGGCGGAACAGGTGAGGAGCCCAGGTCAGGGACAGGGCACCTGGGCTGCCAAGACCTCAGACACAGCTCCAGGGAGCCCTGAGGAGCTGGGAAGCCTGGCTGCCCAGGGACAGCCCCAGGGACAGGTCCAGGGACAGCCCCAGGGACAGGTCCAGGGACAGGTCAAGGGACAGGTCCAGGGACAGCCCCAGGGACAGGTCAAGGGACAGGTCCAGGGACAGCCCCAGGGACAGGTCAAGGGGCAGGTCAAGGGACAGGTCCAGGGACAGCCCCAGGGACAGGTCAAGGGGCAGGTCCAGGGACAGGTCCAGGGACAGGTCCAGGGACAGCCCCAGGGACAGGTCAAGAGACAAGTCCAGGAACGGCCCCAAGGACAGGTCAAGGGACAGGTCCAGGGACAGGTCCAGGGACAGCCCCAGGGACAGGTCCAGGAACGGCCCCAAGGACAGGTCAAGGGACAGGTCCAGGGACAGGTCCAGGGACAGTCCCAGGGACAGGTCAAGGGACAGGTCCAGGGACAGCCCCAGGGACAGCCCCAGGGACAGGTCAAGGGACAGGTCCAGGGACAGTCCCAGGGACAACCCCAGGGACAGATCAAGGGACAGGTCCAGGGACAGCCCCAGGGACAAGTCAAGGAACAGGTCCAGGGACAGGTCAAGGGACAACCCCAGGGACAAGTCAAGGGACAGGTCCAGGAACAGGTCAAGGGACAGGTCCAAGGAGAGTTCCAGGGACAGCCCCAGGGACAGGTCAAGGGACAGGTCAAGGGACAGGTCCAGGGACAGCCCCAGGGATGGGTCCAAGGACAGATCCAGCAACAGCCCAAGGGACAGGTCCAGGGACAGGTCCAGGGACAGCCCCAGGGACGGATTCAAGGACAGGTCCAGGGACAGGTCCAGGGACAGGCCTGGGCTGGCAGGACGACACCCCCGGCCAAGAAGCAGCCCGTTGTGGGCGCAGCTGGAGGAACACCTGCTGCGGGCAGGAGTGGGGGACGGGGAAGACCTGCCCCCAGAGAGGATGGCCAGGGGGACCCTGCTGCCCCACACCTGCCCCAAGGAAGCCAGCCCCCCAGGGGCGAGAGCAGCGCGGCCCCTGCTCTGGAGCCCACGAACGGCTCTGCCGAGCCCACGCCCAGAGCTGGGGGCTGCCAGGGCGCCTGGGCCGAGGGCCAGGGGGCGCTGCTACGCAGGCCGGGGGCGCAGAGGGGGGAGCTGGCTGTGTTGGAGCAGGAGCGGCGCAGAAAGCCGTTGCCCCTGGCCAAGTACAGAGCCCAGAGCTTCAGCGACCAGAGGTCCTTCGATTTGTCCTTCAGACCAGCGAGCCTCAGAGCCAGTGACACCTTCGACCTCCCCAAGTGAGCCCCAGTCTGGCCGCCCACGTTCCCGACGCTGCAACGCCGCTCGTTGCCGGGCGCCAGGCGTGTTTCCTGCCTCCGAGTCTGGTTTGAATTCGCCCACGGAGACGTCTGTCTCCATCGTCTCCCTCCACTTTTACGTGACCGGGTCTGGGGGGACTCAAGCTACTTGGGGACCTTCCCATCTGCACCCACTGCCTCCTCGGAGCCGGTGTCGGAGCCGTGGAGGGTCTGCCCGTGGCCCCGCGGCTTCACGTGGCTCTGGTGTTCCTCTGCACCTTCGCTTGGAGGCCGCTGCCCGTGGCTGCACGGCAGAGGCCACGCCAGCGCCTCGGTGCTTTGGCGCTGCACTCGTGCGCGTCGTGGAGGCTGGCGCTTTCGGGGCTTCCCCTCCTCTCGCCGGCGTGGCCAGGCTGCCCTCGCCCGCCCACTCCCTCGTGGCCACGTGGCACCCACCGTCCACGGCTCAAAGCCAGAACTGTGACACGCACCCAACCCAGCCACTTTGTTCATATCCTGGAGTCATTTTTCCAAGCTTCCCCGCGCCCCGTAACTGTTTCAAAGCACGTGAACCTGTCGCCGTTCCACGTCTTGGTGCACGTGGGCACTCGCCGCAGAGCACGCCTCTCCCAGCCCTCTCGGTGGTCTCTGAAAACCAGGCGGGAGGCCGTCCGATCGCGCCACGGGCCCTCCGAGCAGCTGGGCTCCCAAGTGCACAGACAGGACTGACCACCCGCCCTGGCGACGTCCCTCACTGCGAAAAGTGCTTCTGCGTTGCGAAGACGTCCTGGTGTCTGCCACCGCAGCAGTTTCCTAAACCACCTGATAGTCCCGGAGCAGGGCCCCCGCGCCTGTTTTCTGACGCAAACATCTGTTTAGAGAAAGGCGTTTTCTAACTCCAGCTCTTAGCGGAGTGTCTGTCTGTGGTGATGCTGGGGGCGCAGGGGGTGTCTCGGCCACACAGACGGCACAGTCTCCTGGGGGGCGGCCTGGGCCTGGCCACGGGGCCCTGCTCTGGGGCGGCTCAGCCTCCACTGGGGACGTCCCTCCTCTCAAAGAGCGCGTGGGCGCCAGGGTGCAGCGGCCCGGCCCCGGAGTCGCGGGGAGCCTGCGCCGGCGTTGGGGTTGACTGCCCGGAGCCGCCAAACCCAGGAGGCGCCTGAGACAGAGACGCGGGGGTCCCCGCAGAGGGCGGCCCTGCCCTCACCTGGTGCGGCAGCAGCTCACTCATTCACGCCTTGTTCCACAGAGGATTTGGGGCCACGTTTGGCAGAGAAGGTGACAGAGGAGACGAAGATGGTAGCACTGTGTTCACTGGCGTTCCCGTTTGAAACAAGCGGCAGGACGTTTGCTGCCATTTTCAAACAGACTGGAACGTCCCCTGGAGAATGCATCGAGTGGCAAGTGAAGGAATGATCAGAATCTCCTCCGGCTGGCAGTTCTAGAAAAGCCCGGCCCGAGCCACCTCCATCCCCGGGCGAGCCCCGCGTGGCCCCAGGCCGTCCTCACGGTGCGGCAAAGGTGGCGCCACGCCGCACTGCCCTGGGCGCAAGAACACTGGAGCAGCTGTGTGTGCAGGAAGAACTCGCGGGCGACTCCTCGCAAGGGCTCCGCAGCGGTTGGCGCAAAAGCACATCCGGCCGAGGCCGCAGAAGGCGGAGGGAGCGTGTTCAAGTGTTCGCCCTGCGAGCAGGACCGTCGTCCCCGCAGAACAAGCCTCGGGGCTGAAGCACCTACCGCAGGGGAGCGGAGTGACGACCACACGCACGGCGCTGCAGATGAACAGCGGAGATAAGCGGAAGGGAAGCAGGACCCATGGTTCCTTTTCAGTCAGCGTCTCCGTGTGCTTGGGAAGCTGTCGACACGCCTTCCCGCAGGCCTTCAGGGCTCCTGGTGTGACGGGCCTGTCTGCGGCGCGCACGGAAAGGCCAGGTCCCCACGGTCGCGCGGCGTGGGCGGCCCGCAGTGCCGTTGTTCAGAATTTCACAGATCCAACATCACTTTCTTATTTTTGTAACGAGGCGTCTTTGCCGCTGAGCTGTGATCTCGGGGTTTCGCCTTAGGCTGCAGCTACTGCATTTCCCGTTTGTGTTCTTGTACGCACAGCTCTGCAGCGGACTAGTTAGAAAAAATCACTAAATGTGTTTTGTATTCTCTCCTTTGTATTTTTACTAACTTCGCCCCGCTGGAAATGACTTCAAAAAAGGAAATAAAATACATTTCCCGTCACAGACCTCTTCCTTGCATCTCTGAATCGGCTGCACAGTGAGGTGGGAGTCTCAGGTGGGAGCCCCCGGGGGCAGGGGCCGGCGTGGAACATCCGGTCAGCGGCCAGACCGGGGAGCGAGGCAGCGTCCAGGCTGCCCACACGGGGCCCCTACGGTGTGCTTGGCCCCGAGGTCTAGCCAGAGTGTCACGATGCCTGGGACAGAGCAGACCACGCTGAGGCGGAGGGAGCTGGGGGATCCTGGGAGGTGCTGGGGGCACGGAGCAGAGAGGCGGCGGGGGACGTCGCTCAGCTCCACCGCGAGACCAACCCCCGGGCACCTGCGGGAGGGGCTGAGCCGGAGACAGGAGGGGTGGGGAGAAGGCTGTGGCCGCAGAGGTGGCAGTTGAGGACTCAGTGTTCTCCTGGTTGGGGACGCGGCATTCTTCTGGTTGTGCAGAGAAGGGTTGCTCTGGGGAACCCAGAAGGATGCTCCTGTGCCAGTGCTCCCGTGGCAGTGCTCCCACGATAGTGCTCCCGCGGCAGGTGCTCTCATAGCAGGTGCTCCCGTGACAGTGCTCCCACGACAGTGCTCCCATGGTAGTGCTCCCACGGTAGGTGCTCCCATGGCAGGTGCTCCCGCGGCCGGTGCTCCCGTGGCAGGTGCTCCTGTGGCAGTACTCACGCAACAGGTGCTCCTGCGGCAGGTGCTCCCGTGGCAGATGCTCTCATGGCAGGTGCTCCCGTGGTAGTGCTCCAGCAGCAGTGCTCCCGTGGCAGGTCTGCAGCCACAGCCTGGAGGCCCTTCCTCCATCCCCACCACAGAACCTTTGCTCGTCACCTCCGCTTACCACGCCCCTTTCTGCTGAAATTCTCCAGGACATTCTGTCTCCTGCACCTCAGAGCCAGGGGCGACACACACGGGGCGCCCAGTAGAAAATGCAGCCCTGCCCCCGCTGGGGCCGCTGGCCAACATGGACACCCTGCACGTGGGCATCAAAGAAATGACATCAACACGGTGTCAGCCCATCAAACCGACAATCAAAACCCCAACTTTTTAAAGGAGTTGGTGACACTCTGGACCTTTGAGAATCTGCTGAGACCAGCATTTCTGACGGGACCAAAACCCGGACCTTCCTCTTCATCACGCAGCGTGGCAGTAAACGCCAGGGACCTTCAGAAGGTGTCCTGAGCCCGGCAGTCCTACCTCTTTGGGAATCGTGTTAAGGAAATATTCCTTTTCCACAAAAACGTTAAAGGCAATCCGCGCAGTGTGGTGTCATTCAAGACAGAGACGCAGGTGACACGAACGTCCGCCGCCAGTCTGTGGGGTGTTACCGCGCAGCCACGTAAAATTAGCCTAAAAGGAATTTTATGAACCGGAAACGCTATTCCGTTAATGTCTAAAATCCAACATGAACTAGCAGATCCAAATATGTAAATGCATATAACAAGGGGAAAGCGGAATAAAAACACGCAGATGAGCAGAGGTTTCCCATGAGCAGTGAGTTTACGGGAACTCGCTCCTGTGTTCATATTTGTCGCTGTTTCCAGGTTAATTTAACAGCACCTGCAACGCTGTCACGATCAGCAGATAAATTCCTATATTTTTAAGGAACACCGGAGGGAGCTGGACGGAAGCCTGGTGCCCCGTCCACCGTCCACCGGCTGCCTGACTTCCCCGCGACAGCTGTGAGGTCCCGGGTCTCCGCCAGGGCCGCCCTCGCCTGGGCGCTGTGGAGCACGCAGGTAAGGCCGGCAGGTGGGAGAGGCGGGTCCACCTGTCAGAGGAGGCGACCAGCTGCTGCGGGCCCAGGCCCGGGCCCCTGCTGCACCTGCCCGGCCAGGGTCGGCCTCCAGCCTCCGCCTACCTCGCCCCAGCGCCTCCTGCCTGGGGCCACCGGGGGGCACTGCCGGCCTCCGGGAAAGGCTGCAGCCCCCAGACCCCGCCAGGAACTGTCCGTGGCTGCCCAATGGCGGGAGAGAGGCCAGGCGAGTGACAGCGTGAGGGTGCTCAGGCCCTTCCCTGTGCCCCAGCCGGGGACTGGCCCTGAGGCTGGCCGCGACCTGAGTGCAGCTCAGGAGGAGGAAGGGCGATTCGCAGCCCGCGTGAACTTGCTCCTGCGCCCTCCGGCCGCGACGCCGCCCTGGGCTCCGGCAGCCGCAGTGCCGGGCCGCGGCCACAGACCAGCTGGCAGCCGTCGCGGTCTGCACCCCAGAGCTCGCAGGGTGGGGTCCTGAGCCCCAGGACCACGGGAGGTGGCTGCATTCAGAGGCGGAGACTTCAGAGAGGTCATGCAGGTAAATGAGGTCACGCGGGTGGCTCTACTCCGATAGCTCTGGGTCCCTCGGGGGGATCGGGACGCGTCACGCGGAGGACACGTGTGAGGATGGGTGGGGGCTGTGTCTGCGCACCAGGAGGGAGGCCGAGGGGGGACCAGCCCTGCCGACACCTCAGTCCCGGCTCAGGCGTCCAGAGCCGCGATGGAGCAAACATCTGCGGCCTGCGCGACACGGCGCCAGGCTGCACGCGGGGTTCTGTCCGAGAGGAAGAACAGGGAACCGGCATTGCGAGAACTAGCCACGCAACGCCTGCCAAGCGCACAGCACAGCCCCTCTGTCCGGGTGGGGCGGGTGGAGCCGGCACTGCCCTCCGGGCGCCACCTCCTGGGGAGGTCCCTCTGCCCCGCCCCCCACCGCTGCACCTGCACAAAACTTTACTGCCGTCATTGTGCAATGGTACCGTATTGCAATGTTTTTCTAAAGATATTCATTTTACCTTATTATAAAAATAACAC